CTCTGAGATTCCATATATTTTTAGATATTCTCAAAGTCCCTGAGGTTAAATTTATCAACAAAATCTATAATGTCATTTCATATAGTCATTGTTCACTGCTATGTCTCATGTGCAGACACAGTCATTAACACACATAGTTGTTCCGTATATATTTTGAATAAATATTACATTGCTGGGTTTGTAAATGTTGATACAATATTTATTTAATGTCTTCTCTGTGCTAGGTTTTGATATATGTGATAAATCAATAAGAGAAAAAATATAAAAATAAGAAATACTCCTTTTTCTGGAGGTGGTAAAACTCTACAAATTTGAACAACTAATCTAAGAATCACATTTTAGGAATCACTTATATGGTGACATCTTCCTCTTGTTCCTACTCCCTCATTTAGCTTATACTTTCCCCAAAGGTCATGGGTCTTCACAACTTTGAGTAGAAAGGAAATTGCCTATTTCATTTTAATCTAAGTCAGAAAGAAAAATTTATGAGTTAAGATATTATTAATAGAGGCATATTTCAACATGGCCACCTTCAATTAAACGAATAAACAACAAGGACAAACACCCATAAAAATGGCAAGTTACTTCTCCTCTTTGGATAATATGCCTTTCTCTGAAGTACTTTATTTTACATACATTAGTGACTTCAGTTCCACAGTATTATTGTGGATATGGAGAACATCAGTTTGAGAAGAACTGGTGGAGATAGCTGATCAACCTACATTTGCACTTAATTGATTTCCTTATGATTTCTTCTCCTGCATAGAAGAAAAACTTAGATACTTTTGGTTAGAGGGGAGACAATTTACCAATAAAAATCATACTTATACAAATTGTAACTTTGATGTTATTTTGAAGTTTATTTTGATAGAGGGAAAATATGCTCTGGACCTCACAGGACCTTTGAATCCTAGGCTGCCTACATATTAATTGTCTGACATGGAGTCAATAAATTAATTTATTTGAATTTTAATTTCTTCAAAGAAAACAGTGATTTTCTGGGTTGATGTGAGGAGAAATTGTGAATTTATATGTGAAAAAGTAACCAATAAAAGACACACAAAAGTGTTTTTTAAATTCCGAAGCAGGACTCCTCATAAGTAGGGTCTGTCTATATAGTCACAATATTCCTAGCTGAATTCATGGAAATTTTACCACTCCTGTGAATGCCATTGAATCTGTGGGCTTTGTTAGCCTGAAAGATCATCTCCATATTTTTATTTGAAACTACATGACAAAAAGAGCCCATTGACATACATTTATTTGTGTTTGTGTAAAGTTAATGGTGTGTGTATGGGTAGGGTGTGAAATGGTGACAGGAAATTATATGTAGCTGGTCATTTCAGAATTCTAAGGCAATTTCTACATACATTCAATAGGGTTTCATATCTGAAACATAACATTAATTGAACAATAGTAGAGTTCAAACAGATGCCTGTGATGCAATTAACTTTTTAAAAATCCTAAAATATATTATAGAGATATGAATAACCCCAAAATGTACATATTACATCTTTTTTTAAATTAACTTCAGAGTGAATTGAGATGACACCAAGACAATGAGTGATTTTCTATTCACCTGTTACAAGAAAGTACGCAGTACTTGGGCCATTTGTGGAGCATTCTTAGGAAGCAAAAAAGGTGACTTTTAATCAAGGGTAGGGGACTTCCCTGGAGATTACTATCCTCAGGAGATAGCTGCCTGAATAAAAAAGAAGCTCAAACCAAACCACAGGGATTCTTGATTTTGGACATGGAAGAGAAAGTTGTCCCTGCAGGACATTAGCAAACACTCTGCCTTGAGATGCCAGGTAAGAGAGAAAGCATTGTTTACCTGGATTTGGAAAAGGACTAAGATTAAAGAGACTGTGTATAAAGTAGTGAGTGGAGAAATTCTAGCCTGTAATACAAGGAATTACAGGGGTTTAGAGGTGTTTCTTTCTTTGAAAACATCCTTAATTTGTCTCACTCAAGAACCTGAAATATTTGGACAATGGTATTGAACCAAATAAAAGAAAGTGGGTTTAATATATTCCTGAACTTGAGAAGTACAGAACTATCCATGCCTGTGTTAACACTGACTGTGGAGTTCAGCTGCATCCCTAAACATGAATATCTTTTGAGACTGTTGAGGACAGGGGCAGGCCACTCCAAAATATCCCACAATGGTCTATTGATCATTTTGAATTAAAGTTAGTTGAGAAGCAGCCAGTGAAAAAAGGATATTTCCTCCTCCTCTCTCTATTCCCCTGAGCAGGAAATAAATTTCCCATGTGAAAGGTACCCTCCCCGAACCAGGAGATAGACATCTTTATCACCAGAGCTAGGAAATTTAGGGCTGAGAAGCTTGTATAAACAGACCTTATTACTTTACTAACTTACTATCATAAGCATAAACTCTGTTTAAATTCTTCTTATTATGTACCCCAAATCTAAGTTTCTTTGTCCTGTCATTCCTCTCAAATTTCTTATTTCTTTACGTAAAAAAGATATAAAAGCAGCCTGCTTTGCCCATCTCAGACAGCATTATTTTTATAATCTTCAATACATACATATTAAATTGTTTGTTTTCCTGTTAATCTGGTCTTGTATCAATTTTATTATTAGTCCAGCGTTAAGAACACAAGAAGAGTAGAAGGGAAAATTTCCCCATCCCTGACAAGACTAAATAGTGTAGATTCTGAAAATGCTCAGAAACCCATGGATAAGAAAAGACATTGAGAAGAAATCTGGCACTAGACCCTTAACACTGGAAGGCACAGAGATTGGTCTAAGCAGAATGTGCTCTTTTCCAAGAAAGAATGAGTTTTCTAGACCCCCTCTCACCTTCTCCATCTTTTATAACAAAATCTAATGCCAAAAAATGCTAATAAAGCTTCTGAGGCTAATTTCAATTTGCTTAATTTTTAAAGATAATGTGTAGGATTTTAATTGATCTTGTCTTATTATTTCTGCAAGTCTCATCGAAATTGACTCAGATTGAGATTTTGACAGATTGACTAGCCTGCCAAATGAAAGCAGGGGACAAGGGGACAGGATCTTTGTGCTTTTTGTCCTCAGTATCAGGGCAAGGTAGTGAGACTTTTAAAAAAAGGTTTTCTTTTGTTTCCTCTGAGAATCTTGCCCTGACCAAAGATTAGATTTGTGGGGAAATTTGAATAGAAGCATCTGGGAAATACTCAGGGCACCATAGAGAGAATCTGTATGCTCCACACAGGGAACGAAGATTTTGAAGTGCGTTATCTCTGTAAAGGCCCATGAACAATAGAGAGAATGATATTAGTGAGTGAGGATAGATGAGGGATTGGGACAATTAGTAAATTCAAATATTTGTAAAGCTTATTGTTTGCAGGGATGATTGCATATGATGTGAAGAGTGTGTATACAATTTCTATTTAGTTTCATAGATACAGAATATGGTGAGGGATGGATTCAGAAAAAAATCTGTACTTTGCTGTCTGTGGGGAGAAGACAGTGTATCCATAACTGATTTTATCTGGTAAAGAAGTTTAGGTAACATAGATAAGGAAATGGTCTCATCTCTGACATACTGTACATTATAGCTGAATATTAAACAGACTTCTCACATCTTCCTTAAATATTGCTAATTGTGCTTTATTAGATCTTTACTATAATCTTCAACAAAGTCTACAATCAGCCATATAGAGAAAACTAATTAATATTTATTCAATATTTGGATGAATAAATAACCATACTCATATCAAATTAAATCAATAAAATAGGCATTGTATAATATTTTCGCTATTATTAAAAATGAATTATTTGCTAACACAAATATATAGTAACTGGTAAAATGTCTCTATATCTTGCTAATTAAAATTAAAAATATTTAGCTCTATAATAAAAAATAAAGTTTATGAACATGATTTTAAAAAATAGTCTGTTCGAGATTATAGTATTTTTAAACATATAAAACTAAATTCTTTTTTCAAGCACATTGACAAAAAATATTTTTTATGTTGAACAATGAGTTATCATGTAACAGTGACTCACAAACTATGTAGTAAATAATCATTTTAAAAATTTTCTATCAATCATGGAATATTTTTTTGTAAAATATAACCAAAATTATATTTAAGAAAAATGAAATGAAAACTACATCCAAAATATAATAATAATCTTGTTATTGTACACTAATAATTATTATTATTAAAGAAACACAATTAATGCAAAAGTTTCTAAATGTTTGTTTTTAATTTCTACACTGACCTCATTGCAGAAAAAGTAGAATGTTAAAAAATGTCCATGAAATACAGTTTGAGTAGCACTGTCCAATATGCATCACGGTTGACGAAGGCAGTAAGAAATACCCTGGAATGATATACTAGTGTAATTACAATTACAGGTATAAATTTTCATGAATTGTTAAAAGAAATTTATTTAAAGTACACTATTTATTTTTGATTTTTTAAACTATCATTACATCAATTAAATCATTTAGGCAAACTAAATATTAAGGGTGTATTTTTTTCTCATTTTTCATTCGGTAAGCTACAATACTTGGGGAATTTGATCAAAAAAAGAAAGTCTTGTTTTTTAATATAGAGGCTCAGAAGCTCTGTATGGGAAACAGCATTTAATCTCATAATTAGACACATATCAACATCTGCTTAAAATAAGAGGTATTACGAGTAGTGAACCAAATGTTCAAGTTAAATTTTCTTTTTTTTTTTGGTGAGAAAGATTGGCCCTGAGCTAACATCTGCTGCCAATCTTCCTCTTTTTGCTTGAGGAAGATTGTTGCTGAGCTAATATCTGTGCCAATCTTCCTCTACTTTATATGTGGAACGCTACTGCAGCATGCTTGGTGAGCGGTGAGTGGGTCTGCGCCCAGGATTCGTACCTGCAAACCCCAGGCCGCTGAATCAAAACCCATGAATTTAACCACTATGCCACCTGGTGACCCCTCAAGTTAAATTTTAACATCTGGGTTCGAGATAGTGCATTTCATTTTAGGAAAGGCATGCAGCTTTGGCATCATGTTTCCTATCAATAGCACAAACTCCATAGTCTCCACCTTCCTGGTGACAGGCATACCTGGGCTGGAGGCCATGCACATCTGGATCTCCACACCCTTCTGTGCCATGTTCTTCATTACCTTGGTGAGAAACATGAGCATCATGACAGTTATCTGGAGGGAACCAACCCTTCATGTGCCTATGTACCTCTTCCTGGCCATGCTAGCTGCCTCTGATCTGGGTTTCTCCCTCTTCACCTTCCCCACAGTGCTGAGGATCTTCTGGTTGGATGCTCGAGAGCTCACTTTCTTAGCTTGCTTCACCCAAATGTTTTTTATTCACTCCTTCCAGGATTTTGAGTCAGCTGTCTTATTGGTGATGGCCTTTGACCGCTATGTGGCCATTTCTCATCCACTGCACTATTCCTCCATCCTTACCAATAATGTAATTACCAGGATAGGTTTGGCTATTGTTGTGCGCACCTTGACTCTACAGGTGCCCCTCCTCATCCTCTTGAGGAGGCTGTGCTTCTGTCACTCCCATGTGCTGTCTCATTCCTGCTGCCTGCATCCTGACATCATAAAGCTCTCCTGCTCCAACACTAGGATCAATAGCATCTTTGGACTGTTTGTGGTGCTATCCACTATAGGACTTGATTTTCTTCTCATTCTCCTTTCATATGTTCTGATACTGAAAACTGTACTGACCATTGCATCTCATGGTGGCCACCTCAAGGCTCTCAACACCTGTATTTCCCACCTCTGTGCTGTAATTCTCTTCTTCACACCCATGATCTGCCTGTCTATACTGCATCGCTCTGGCCCCAAACTTCCTTCAGACATCTATGTGACCATGGCCAACATGCATTTTTTCATTCCTCCTGTGATGAACCCCATTGTGTATGTGGTGAAAACCAAGCAGATATGAGAGAAAATTCTGAAACTCTTCATCCAGTAAGGACTGGGAGAATCCGAAGTCACATTTATAAGATAAATGAGTGCTATTCAAACAGAGAAAGAATGCTTCCTGAAACACAGTGTTTGTTGATATTCTAAGTGCCCACAAAGGCTCTGTTTGACCACTGATTCTTCTGAATTATATGGGGTATTAGGTTGGAAGAACTTTAAAACTATTTCTATTCTATGACTTGAATGAATATACATCGAAAAATAAAAATTGTTCAGTAAATTAAAAATTTTAAATGAATTTTTTGTCTTTATTTCTTAGTCCAATGGTTCATGTATTTTGGTCAGAGAAGTGTGTAGTCTTATAATTTATCTTGGACAGGGCAAATAAAGTACCTATTATTACCATCTGTATCTGTTTGATAGGGTGGTAGTTATTTAGTGAATACCTACTTTATTCTTGACATTTTGTGGAGCTGAAGATACACTGTTAAAACACTGTTAAACAAAATTCTTGCCTTCACTGTGGTGATATTGTTGAAGTAAGGGAAAACAGGGAAGAAACCAATAAACAAATGAGTAGCTAATATTGCTATTGAAAAGAACTATAAAACCTTGAAATTTACAGTCAACAATCTCCACCTAGATTTGATGTACTGATATTTCTATTGCCAGAGTCTAAAAATCATCATCATCTAGAAATAGTGTGATTTCCAAACCCAGGAGGTCAATGTGTAGCATAATGTTTTATCTTGCAAGCATGCTCACTCCTTGACTTCACAGCCTCTAGACTTTGGCCTTGAGGTCTCTAGTCCCAGTCCTTCAAACTTTCACCTTCTCTAACTCTATGACAATCATTATTATTTCATTGTCTTTCATATTCATTACAGACCACATATACTCCAGGAAAATCTCCATCAGAATTCATCTTTTCTTATTTTTTTTACTTTAACTCTAAACTTACTTTGCAATCGATTTAAATATCTTCACATTTTCTACTCTTACACCTGTACTTTTGAGTTCTAATTAAGACTGACACTAGATTTTTCATATTGTGATGACTACAAATTAATGATCTTTAATTCATTTGGTCTTCTAGTGCCTGAATATATATTGCTGAAGCTCTTGGCGGCTTTTTTCACAATCTGCAGCTGCAATTTAAAACACTTGGAACTCTCTTTCAGTCACTCATACTCCATCTCATACCCTCTCTTTACTTTCACATACACAAAAGAATCTATTTCTAGATATGCCATCAAATTCTCCTTTCTAATATCAAAGAAAGAATTCTAATTTCCTTCATTCAAAGAAGATCAAGCTGTCTTCACCTTTGAAGGAATTTCTTTTAATATCATCTGAGACTTTCAATTTTGCCCTCCAACCCACTCTCTCTTTTGTTTATATATTATTATTAGAAAATATTTAAAGCATGCAAGAGGTGTTGAAAATAATACAACAAACATGCATATATTTTCCACTTGGTTCTATTTAATTGTAATATTTTGCCACAACTGACTGTGAATTTATTAAGTAAAACAACTTATAATAAACACAAAGATTTCTTTGTATCTCACTGAATCATAGAACTCAAACACAATCCCCAAAAGTAACCACACAAATTTGTTTGTTGTTAATCTTTTTCTTCTTCATTTTATTATATTTAATGTATGTGTGTATAAATATATAACAAGCTATACATAAGCATATATAATAAGTATATATATGCTATATAGCATTGTTTTAAAGGCTTTCTAAAAAATCATTAATTTTTTTGTCACAAATATATGTTTTTGATATTTACCCATATTGTTACATGTAACGTGAATATATTCATTTTCACTGCTATGAAATTTCCTGTGTTGTCCAGAAGATAAGAAGGGGCTCCAGAGGTTCAGTTCCTCCAGTTAATCCTGTCTCTTGCTCTACACTGAACAATACCTTAATAGGATTGTAGAACTCTGAATGTTCTACCCATCTCCATTACATCCTCAGATTTAACCCCAATTTCTGCATGAAACCTGCTGGAGTCATTTCGTGATAACTTCTATCCCTATCTATATGAGATTCTCATCTCTTCCCTTGACTTTAATCCTCATATAGCTGCACAAAATTCCTTTCGATGTGTATTCTGCTGTTTCAATCAAATCTTTATCCTCACTCTTCTTATATCTTTATTTCCTCCTTGGTAGGTTGAATATTGGCTCACATCTTAACCTGTGAATATGTTATCTTACATGGCAGAAGAAACTTTGTCGATGTGATTAAGTTAAGGGTCTTGAGATGGGGAGATCATCCTGAATCTTCTGAGTGAGCCTGATGCAGTCACAAGGTCCTTGTAAGAGGGGGGCAAGAGTTCAGAGAGGAGGGAAGACACTGTGTTGATGGTTTTGAAGATAGAGGAATGAGATCATGAGCCAAGGCATGCAAATACCCTTCAGAAGCTGGAAAAGGTAAGACAATAGTTTCTTCCCCATAGCCTCCAGAAGGAACCTGCCCTGCATATACCTTAATATTAGACCAGTAAGGCTCATTTTGGATATTTAATCTCCAGAACTATAAAATAACACTATTGTGTTGTTTTAAGCCACTGAGTTTATGAAAAATTGTTGTAGCAACAGTAGGAAATAAATACATCTTCCTTACAAAGAATGAATTTACTATACTTCCTTAATAAGAAATAATTTTCTCCAGCCACTCTTTTTCCACTAGGTGCTTCACACAGTTTAAAAAAAAGGTTTAAGATGCTCTCTTCATAAAGCAAACTCTTACTAACCATATGGCTGTCACTAAGTACTTAATCTATTATTCCTTTTGGCTTATAGTTAAGCTACTTGAAAAATAATATGCATTAACTTTCTTAATTTTCTCCCTCATAAAATCTTTTTAAAATTTATTGTGGTTGAATATAAAACACATACAGAAAACTGCATGGAAATAAATGTGTAATTTAACAACTTTTTGTAAAATGAACATCCATATAAATATCACCTAAGTATAGAAACAATGAATTGTCAACACCCAAACTTCCTCTCAGCCTTTACTGAACATAACCTCACCATTGACACCACATTAAACCAGTATTCTGACTTTTATAGTGTTCATTTCATTGCTTTTCTTTATATTGTGACTATTTAGCTATGTATTCCCAGACAACACAGTTTACTTGTAATTAAGCTGAACTAAAAATTGTTTCCTCTTCAACTCCATTACAATCAAATTTTGTCTCTATTATTCCATTGAAATTACTTGGGCAAAGGTCACCAATAAACTCTGAATTACCAAATCAAACAATCTATTTCAAATCCCGTCCTCATCATTGGACTTATCACCAATACTTGACACTATTGATCACTTACTTACTTGTTACATATCTGTACTTTGTTGGCTTCTCTAACACCTCTTTATTCTGGTTATTCTCTGATCTTTCTAGCTAATTTTACTCATTATGTTTTCTGGCTTCTCCTTCTGAATACAAATGTTGCCATCCTCAATCTAAAACTCAACCTCTCTACCGAACTTCAGACAGATTCACACCTCACTCCTGGTTAATTCCTTTTGTATGCTACATGGAAACCTTAAACTCAACAAGCCCAAAATAGGACTTATGGTCCCTTGCTCCATCCCCGACTGCTACTTCCTCCTGCTCTCACTTTTGTGTTTTCCATTCATGTGAATGGCATCTCCAGTAATTTCTTCCCTCCAGCCAAATATATGAGCTATACCACACATGGTTGTCACTCTGTCTCATTCATAATTTCCAATCATTTACCAATATCGTAGATTTTACTTTCCTAAAATTTTCCCATCAATCACTGTTTTTACACTTCTACTACTCGTTAATAAGGAGGTCTAAATTATTAAGTTTAGACCTTAATAATTAAGTAGATTATTTAACCATTCTAGTAGTTGGCTTCTCTGCCTTCATTCTCAAACAACTCCAAACAGAACTGAAAATAGCTTTCAAAATCTAAAAAATCTAAATCTAATTATGCCGCACACTTGTTTAAGCCTTTTCATTGTTCCTCTTCGCTTACAGGTTAGTCTTTGCTCACAACTACCACTATTGTTCTTTGATGATTTTCTAGCTCAAAATGTTTAACTCCATGCTCTGAAATGAATAGCTTTCTTATTTAACCACCTGCTGTGTCTCTAACAAGTTATTCCAATTGTTCCAGCTATGCTCACTTCCTTAAATATTCTCTTTTTTATTGAAGTGCCCATAATAGTGCTCATCTAGTTTTGAATTAATAATTCCAGTCTTTTTTGTTATTTTCTGTCACCTAGGATTAAAATTATTTTTAGGTCACATTAAAGTCATATTTCACACATGTTTAATGAAAACGTTTCTAACACATGTCCAGTAAGGTCATGGCATATTCCTGAAATGCATAGAAGATTCCTACAAGAAAAGAGTCAATGCAACACATCTGCTTTACTCAGTTCTTATATCTGTAGTCTTGTCAATGGATAGCCCATGACGAAACTGTGAGAACGAATCTTCTGAAATATTCACATAGTTACTGAGTAATGATGCTATTATTTATGCTCAAAGCAGTATATCAAGATGAACCAGGTTGGCAGCATGTGTAAGATAAACATGGAACTTATTATATGTGCCTGTTGCCTGGTTTGGGGTCTACACATACTGGTCATGTGACAGACATGTGACTATGCAACCAGCTTCCTTTAAGAACTCTGGACTCCAAAATTCAAGCAGGCTTCCCTGAACAGAGACGTCTCTCATGTGTCTCTGAGGTTTGCAGCTACAGCAACCCTTGCAGAAAGAAAGGAAATACTTGGAAGCCTGTATGTGACTTCTCTAGCCTTCACTTATGTATATATTTTTCCTGCTGTTCTTGTGCAGTGTCCTTTGCTATATTAAATATTAGTCATGTGTATAACTGTAACTTTATGTTGAGTTGTGTGAATCACTGAACTAGCAAGTGGTTGTGGTACCCCTGAGATGGTTCCTCTGCCTCATGCCCAATTTGGTCCCTACCTTAATTTCCCAGGCCATTCCTACCCAGCTTCACACCTGCCATGACCAAAATTTATATCTTTTATCACTCTCCCTTCAGCTTCCAATCAAAATCCAGGCCCTTTTTGTGTGCTCCTGGTGAATCCTCTTTCATCTTCTTCACCTCTTACAATTATTCCTCAGTAAATATGAAGAACTCACTTTGAGGAGGGAGGAGGAGAAGGAACAGAACTAGGGAAAAGTAAGCAATATATTATTGTAAAAAAAAACCAATCAGTGCAAAATGAATTTATCTTGGAGGAAATCTATTAATATTATTACTCAAGGAAATAGTGCTGTAGATATTTCACTCTCACTCCCCAAGATGTTTACAATTTAAGAAGAAGTTGGCTGAATTTGAAGGAGGAGGTTTGGAGGATATAAAAGATTGTATGTCTTGGAGAGCTAAATATAATGCAAGATGTTTCTGGGGCCAGAATAGCTATGATCTATGTGGTGACTTCTATCTCTAAGGAGCTGAGAAGGTTTTAGGCTGGGAACAGAAGAAAGAAAGCTTGAAGCAGAACTGGCTGTGTGTTCTAAGCTTATATTACATATCCTCTGGAGAGCTGGCAAAGACCCACAAGGATTAGCAATAGCCAGCTCTATCTGACACATGAACATTTGATGCTTCTCTGAAAGCCTATACCATAGATGATGTGTGTAAGCCTCCAGAGAGAGCCAGTCTCAGTGCCTTATAAACCTGCTACTTGGCACTATGCTCAAGGCAGGGAGCCTCACAGGGCCCCAGCTGCACCATGATCCACAGAGTTCATCCCTGCCCTGGGGTCTGGTAAGTGATAGAAACATCTCAGGCTAGGTTAGGTCAAATCACGTTGTAGGTGTACTTGGGATGGAAGTCAAAAGAAGTCATGGGCTATCCTCGAGCTCGTTTCAAACTCTATATCAAGATCTCTGAGGCAGGAAGGACATTTGTTGGAGGTATACGGCAACTCGAAGCCTTTTACATGATATATTCTATAGTTTTGGAAAACAATCCCTGGCCCCTCTTTCCTCACCCAACAATCACTCAATTTTTGCCCTTAGAGTTTAAGATCAACTGTAAGTCAAACTACATTTAAGTATGATACATATTAGATAATTGATGAATAATTGATATAAGAAAGAAAAAAAAAAAGGAAGAAAGCAGGAAGGAAAACCAGAAATACGATTTCTAATTCTCACATAACATTGTGATAGAGGCAACATCAAATATTTACCGATGACGCTTCCAGGATAAGAGCTATGTAGAGTTCTTGCCTTAAAAGAAGTAGTTTAAAGGATTGATAATATTGAACCTAGGCTATAATATTTTTAAAAAGAATAATAACGCTGCATTTACTTTCTGAAGAACTGATACGACTTTAGTTTATGTAGTTTCTCAGGCCAGTGCAAAAAATTTTAGGACTCCACTTCTGTAGCTTTAGTGCTTTGAAGCAACATTAACAAGTTTAAAAATCTGTAGCCAAAGAGCCGTCTAGAGTATGGGCAATGTAGCAATGTTTCCCAGAAAGCTGTACATTTTTGAAAAAAAATCTTCCAGATTCAAAATTGCACTGTCTTCTACAAATATTAGACACTGTTCAACAAAATGTTGTAACTACTCAGTTTATAATCACGAAGAGCATGCATTGGCTTGCACTACAAGCTCTGCTTTTGTCCAGAAGTGTCCTGTCTTCCATTCCTTGTTAACTGCTATCATTTTAGCATTTATTTGTGAGCAAATCAAGACATTTGTAACGTGCATCTCTTCTCCAGGTATAGATGAGTGCCAAAATTGTATAGCTGTTTCTTACTAAATATTAAACATACAAAAATTCTTTAGGACTATGGAAGTAAAGAGAATATCCATGTGGCTCATTTTATCGGACAAGAATACAGTCTGGAATGCTTTAACATAGTTAAACTCTAGACACTCAATTATTACATGAGGGCTTAGAACACTTCTCCAACATGCTAACAGTGCAGAAAGGTAGATTTCCTTAATTACTTAACTATCACAATAGAGTCAATTGCTTTCTGAGACGTGGAGTTTCACGTACTTTTTAGGGTTGTTGCAAAGTTAATTTAGCAGGAGTTGGACAAGATAACCTTGAAAAATATTAAAATTTTGTTTCTACGTTTGTTTCTGACAAAGCTCAAATGAAGATAGCATTTTTGCTGCTCACTTTGTGACTGAAAACATCACGTAAAAGGTTCATGTGGGAGGGATATTCCCCCATCAGCTCATGCTCAGCAGTGGAGAATCAGGCCGAGAAATTCACGCTTGTAAACTCTGCTTGATATTATTTACTCAGTCCTTAAACACTTAACACCATGATTGGACCTTCTAGCAATACCTCTTTCTCTTCTCATCATTGATCACAGCTAACTCAGGTGAAATGCTATTCTTTGGATAACTATGCCTGATCAGAATTTGGCTTTATATGTACCATTGCCTCTCTGCAAAGTCCAGCAGTGTGCCAGACCCATAATAAATTACTGAATTATGCTGAAAGAATTATTTCATACCATTCACAAAATGCAGTGGCCACTGCTGCTTTTCTTCTCTTGTTTTCCTGTCTCAGGTAATTCCCTGCATCCCTAGTGCCCCTGATTCTTCCCACCTAGCCTCATATTTTGTGGGGAATCCATTCTCCTTGGGGAGATGGAAGTTGCATTTCTGTTGTGACTGGGTCCTTATCCAGCTCAATACCTATCCCTGGACAGACTCAGGCACATGGATTGAATCTATACTCTATGTCTAACCCTAAGAGTCTGGGAGTAGCAGGTTCTCTTTTCTGACATCCTTACAAGGTGCAGTCAAAACAAAAACTTCCAAGTAGCCCCCAGACGATTCCTATTTGTGAATTTATCACCAGCTTGTCACATATTACCTTGGGCATGTCTGCTGAATATAAAATTATCTTTTTTCTTACTCTTGTCATGATTCAGGAATGGGTTTTCTGTTTTATTCATCCCAGTTTGTTAAATATTCTCCCAGAAATATTAATGCTGAATCTCAGATGTTTTATTTTTATTAATAATGATAAGCTTTCTACGTTTATGATAATTTCAGTCTATTACATTTTGGGAGGTGGGAATGCTTTTTATTTCTTTTGAAAACACATTGGGATTAACAGCCTATAAGTAAAAGTTTTCAGAGGCAGCTTGATGGACACAAAATCTATTCATTGCCCACCTCTTCCTCTGTAACCAAAATTCAGAGAGAGTTTTTATTAGAACAACATTGATGACTCCTAGTACTCACCCACCCTCACCTCTTCACAGGTGTACCCACACAACAACCCAATTCTCTTTCTATTGCAGATCTTTTCTCAACTCTGATAGGTCTGCCTCTGCTTTTGGCTTTTCTTACGGGTCGTTATTATTATTCTTACTCCATGACTTGTCCTATAATTACTGCCAATAACTGTTTACTGTTCAATTACTATGCTTGTTTCAAACCTGACCCCTTTGCTCATCCTTCACAGAATTTCTTCTCTGGGTTTTCCTTAAACTAATAGTAGTTAACACGTGGAATGGGGATTGTAGGTATTCTTTATGACTTAATAGGGAAGCATTGCAATTAGTTCGTGAAACAGAGTTAGAATAAAATGAAGACTGTTCTGTTGGTCACAGCTGCTCTACTGGTCATGTAAATGACTGCCTATAAGATGTTGAGTTCTCCATTGTTAAGAGAATTTTCCCAAGATATTGAGAGAGGAATTCATCCTTCAATGTAGACCTTAAATATGTGACCAAAGTTTCCTTTAAATTCCATGTACTCAGATTTCACACTTTATTACTTTCTTTAATAATTGTCCTTGAAGGTACTCAGGATCATTCTTTAAAAGGGCAAGTCACGGAAAGCAGGATATGGATTCTCCATTGGGACCTTTTATCTGTCTCATGGTCAATGTCCTTGTGAACTGGTTTATGGATGTGTTCTATGTTGACCAGTGTGTTACTAGACCTTCAGAGGTAGAAGCTATATATTGCCTGTCATTATATTGCTTACATTGAGTACATTGCAGGAGTTCAGTAAACGTGTGATGCCATTGAGAATATTTTGTGCTACAAATATTACCTAATCTTCATCTTCTTCTTCTCACCTATCTGTACCAGTTCTCCAAACATTTTGTAGAGAACACCCTGTAAAAAAGATTGAGAAGGGATTCAAATCCAGTAAGCATACACATCAAACCCAAACCCCTCGTGGTGTCTCTTGTCACAGATATTACTTTTGATGTCCTGAATCCCTTTCCAAGCAAAAGATATATCTAGTAATGTCAGGAGTTCACAGTCAGTATTAACATTCTTACACTTTATTTTTTAACTCCCAAGCAGCCACCAAATATAGTCATCCTGATCTAGGTTACTGTAGAACCCTATATTCTGGTACTAAAACTAATCTAGCTTATGCACGTGGGCCCTGTGCTCTCATCACAGACTTTCCTTTTTTATTTTTTCAAACCTGAAACATCTTCAAATGAGGCAGGAATTTTCTCTATCTGAATGGCCTAAATATGCTTCTCAAAACTAGGGCAAACCACTAAGAAGAGAGTCCATGCTGTACCCTAGTGAAAATGTGTAAAGGAATGGGATTCAGTACTGTGAGAAGCGGAGAAAAGGAAGAGCAATATTATTCTGTAGGCATAGGCCATGGGTACCATGTAGGATGAGATGATTGATAGGAAAATAGATGAAAGAATAAATTTTTGCTTTCGTTATAATTTATCCAGGGCAAGACTTTCCCAGAGTTATGGCAATTCCTATCAAGAATAACGCCAGCAGCTTCTTCTTCATATTGATGGATCTCCCAGGACTAGAGGCTTCTCATTGCTGGACAGCTATTCCTATCTGCTCTATCTATGTTCTCTCTTTGCTGGGCAACATCACCATAATGTACGTTGTCAAGTCTGTGCCCAGCCTCCACACACCCATGTACCTCTTCCTTTCCATGCTTTCAATGGCTGACCTGGGTCTCTCCGCTTCTACACTGCCTTCAATGACAGCTGTCTTTCTCCTGGGCCAGAGGAAGGTGGGAGCTACAACCTGCTTTATGCAACTCTTCTTCATCCACACTTTCTCGGTCATTGAATCAGCTGTGCTGTTGGCTATGGCTTTTGACCGCTGTGTGGCTATCCGAGAGCCCTTACGCTATGCCACCATTCTCACAACCAAGCGCATTGGAGCCATTGGGCTGGCTATTGTGACCCGTAGCGTTGCCCTTCATCTGCCCCTGCCTGTGCTCCTTGGAAGACTGCAATTCCAGCCTGTAAATGCTCTGTGTCATTCCTATTGTGTTCATCCTGATGTTCTAAGGCTGGCCAGTTCCAGCACTCTTGTGAACAGTGGCTTCGGGCTCTTCATCATGCTCTCTACATTGGGGATGGACACTGTACTCATTCTCCTCTCCTATGTGCTAATCTTGAAGACAGTGTTGAGCATTGCATCCAATGCTGAGAAGCTCAAACCCTTCAACACCTGCATTTCCCACATCTGTGCTGTACTACTATTTTATACCCCACTAGTCAGCCTGTCCATGATTCATCGCTTTAGGAAAAAGAACTTACCAGCTCAGGTATACATGCTTCTCTCCTATCTGCACTTTCTAGTACCTCCAATGCTCAACCCAATTGTATACAGTGTCAAAACCAAACACCTTAGGGGATGCATTCTGAAGATACTTCACCCCAAAAAGCTCTGAGCCACAGGGATAAATTATTGGTTGTGACAATCAGCTTGCTGACTGAAGACATCTCAGAGAGGAGGAAGTCTATAACTTCTGTTTGATCACTCAGTTAATTATTCAAAAACACTGACTGAAATATATTATGGTGTTTCTTCAGTCGTTAGAACAATCCTTGTTTAATAGGAAAAACCATTCTGTGAAAGTCAATACCAGCCTATAAAAGACTCAGATTATTATAAGGGAAATGGTCCCTTGAGAGAGTATCATCTTCAGGTAAAAGCCAGCATATTTGAAAAGACAGATTCAGTGACATCTAAAATATCTTCCAACTAAAAACCTATAATCCTACAAAAGTAATTCAAAATGGCCTCACTTGGTTGTACTTTCTGAAAATTTGGCAAATATGTAAAATCAAAATTTGTTTTTCTTCTTATTTGCATAATAACTACAGATATGGATTACACTGAAAAAATATAAGCCAAATAAAATATTTCAAAAATTTTAAATGCATTTAAAGAAATATATATCTTGATTATTATAAGAAAGTGTGTCACAATGTGGGTATTATGCAGCTCAATATTCCTCTAAGCTCTATGACATATGAAAATGACAGGTGGACACAGCCTCCAATATTCTCCAGCCCTCTGAATGAAGTTAAAGCTATACTCCTCACTTCCTAATAGATACATGGGGTATTCTGTGCCTTCGTAAACTACCAGGAGATACTACAGTTTTTGGATGATAGATACCATGTACAACTTAATTTTCCTTTGGTCCTTTAGGGAAGATTAAAAAAAATAAGCAAAGTAGACGTCCTGGAAGACTATTTTTATGACAATTGACAAGGCTCTCATAAACAAGTTAAAACTAGAGAAGTAAATGTGCTCACTTTGTCATGGTATCTTTCTTCTTGGACTAAAACTTTATGTAACTTCTCTAATAGAATTCGTCTGTTGAACACATAACCAGTAATAGGTCATGTAAGTCTTTCACTTAAGAACTAATACTTTGGACCAGATTGTACTGTAAAGTTATTTACAGTGTTGCGATGGAAAGGAGAAAGGAAACATGTTACCAATATTTGGTTTCTCCCCTACAGAGTCGTTCATTTAAATCATATTTATTCACCTATGCTGGGCCACCTCTTATTCAAAGTATAAAGAAAACAAAATAGAATATTGTTTCCTTGGTGTGAGAAGTTTAAATCGTAAGGGGAAATAAGATTGTAAACATGTAATTCTCCAGTAAGTCGCAGATGCTTTGGTGGCAGACAGCACAGCTTAGAGTGAAGACACAAAGAAAGATGGATTTCATTTGATCGATGGGATTTCAAGAGACACTTCTATGAAGCGATGTGTTTTATGTGAACACTAGAAAGATGAAATATTCAAGCATGGCAAATAAAGACTTTCTTGTTCTAATCTCATCTCTCGACAGATCCTGCATTCCAGAAACACAAAAATAGTTGGGATGCCCCATGAACACTTAGTAGTTTCTGACATCTGACCATTAGTTCTTCTTGTAACTTTGCCTGTAATGACCAGTGCTTTCTCCTTTGATATCCCTTTACGACCCCCGATCTCACAAATATAGATCTATTATCAAGGCATTGGAGATATCTTTTGTTACCCTCCTACCACATTCTCTGTTAGGTTAGGAAACCATTCTCATGATCTCACAAAATCTCATGCATGTCTATTTTACTAAAATTTAATTTTAACAGTTTTATTGAGATTTAATTGACATTAAAATTGCACATATTTATGGTGTACAATGTGATAAATTTGACATATGTATACATCCATGAAATCATCACCACTATCAATGTAATGAGCATCTCCATCATCCCCAAAAGTTTCTTGTTGTTCTTTTGTACTCCTTCCCTGATATCTTTTTTCACCCAATCTGTCTCAAACACTGAGATGGCTTTGTTACTACCCATTAGTTTGCATCTTTCTATAATTTTACATAAGTATATTCATAAAATATATACCTCTTTTGCTATTAGTCTGGCTTCTTTCTCTCAGCATGATTCTATTGAGATCTATCCATGTGCTTTTTGTATTTTATTCCTTTCTATTGCTGAATAATAGTTTACTTTATGAATACACCATGATTTGTGTTATACAGTAAATTGTCACGTAAATAAATTATTAAATGAGAAAAATTATATTTACCTTCATATTTACTATATGTAATACTCTTAATTTTTAACATATGTCCAAATTTATACCTGGCATCATTTCCTTTCAGTCTGAAAAACTTTAACATTCTTTTCTAGCGCAGTTTTACTCATCTGAAATGTCTTTATTTCTTCTTTAATTATGAAGAACAATTTTAATAGACTAAAACAATGTTATAAGGATTTTTTTTTCTTATACCACTTTAAAAATATTCCTTATTTGTTCTTTCTTTCTCTGCAGTGAGAAATCTGGATACCTTTATCTACAGTTTATTTTCTCATGGGTTCATTCTTTGTATACATATAAATAGTTTCAATATTATTAATCCATACTCCTGTTGGAAACAAATTTACCAGCTTGAGTACAAAGTTTATGTGCAGTTCTTTTCATCTTTAAACATACAGTGCCCCATCAAAACACCATTTTCCCAAGTCACTTAGATAGCTCATTTTCCCATCATGTCCTTCATGGAGACTATGTCGTATATTTTTAATAAAAATAGATTAAATATTTTTTCACAATCTACCATACAAGACTGTGAAATGGGATCCACTAACATTTCTTTTTCCTTTTTTAAGTTATATACAGCAAAGTTCACACTTTGTGGTTTACAATTCTATGAGTTTTGACAAAGCATAGAGAGTCATGTTCCAAAAAGCAAGTGCAGGAAGCTAGAAGAAACTTCATGGTGCTGGATTATATATATATATATATATTTTCACTATATATATTTTACAACATATATAAATGTCTCTTTATATCTATATTGTTCTTTAAATGTCTGAACGTATTGATCATAGCTGTTTTAGAGCTCTTTTCTTCTAATTTCAGAATCTCTGTTCATCCTGGATCTCTTTCTAATTACTGTTTGCTGTCTTCTATTTTTCTGCTTTTTCATTTGTCTGCTTTTTACATGCCCATGGGCATTATAGACGCTATGTTATTGAGAATCTGGGTCATATTGTCTTATATAAAGAGAATCTGATTTGATATGGCAGGCAGTTAACGTATTGCAAGATCATGTAGATGTTTTTACATCTTGGTTTTAAGTTTTATTAGGGTGCATGCTTATTAGCCCTTACTCTTGAGTTACAGTACTCTCTTTTGATCACTTTCTATTCACCTCATTGTTGAGGAAGCGATTCCCACCCTAGGGTTGTGGGTATGGTGAAAGCATGGCACTCAACACAGGAAAGATAAGATTGACAGTATATTAGTCATAGGTCCTCATAGACTAGGAAGGAGGACGCTACATGCCAGGCATGGGTCGCACATGGGAACAGAGTGAACAAGCAGGAGATATGGGAGGCAGGCTCTGTAATAACAAGAAGGTGGGGTTACCCCTCATTCCCACATGAGGATGTGACCCACTTGTTTGAATAATTTCATGGGCTGGCAGGGAAGTGAAACCCATTACTTGGAGTGCAGCTGATCTGATTGTTAGGGGAACTAGCTGGGCAGGGAGACTTTTCCACCAGATATGGGGAATATCTGGTGAAAGCAGAGAAATTCATGGTTAGGATTTTTGATGTCCTCCCAGTTTCAGATGTCAAAGCAGCACATGATATTGAATCTTAATTTCAGGCCTTACACCTCATACTCCTACTCCTGTGCTGTGGCCTTCTAGGGTTTCAAGTCTATGTCCAAGGTATTAAAAGAGATCTTTCTACTCTCCCTTGTTGGAAGTCCAATGTATCCTAGTACTGTATGAATTCTAGAACCTTCATTCAACTTATAGCCCACTCTTTTCACTCAGAGATGTTCTCTTTCAAGCTTTCTGGAGTCTTGCCTTGTGACTTTGCAGCTTAGTATCTGGTGAAAACCTCAAGTGGACACCTAAGCAGATTTATAGGACTCCTTCCTTCTGTAACTTCTTCCTGTACTGTAGGTGCCCGAAGTTTTGATCCATCATAGCTTATCTGAAATCAGTTCTCTATTCTCTCCCTCCAGTAAGGAAGGAGCTGCTCCCAATTTGCATTCAATTTCCCTGTCTGAGCTTGTAAAGTGCTGTCAGGCAGAAAGCTTGGATGGATATGGAGTTCACCTCATGTTTCCTTTATCACAAGGAGTCATGGCTCTGCATTGTCTATTTTTCAATGTCTGATATATTTTATATATCTTGCCCAGAGTTAGAGTTGTTTATTTGTTGGAATATGTTCTCTCTCCATTATTTCATTACTTCTTTATAACACACAACATTGAGGTGGAGAGATTTTTGGGCCTCTCTATTTTCTTGCATTTATACTCAGGGGTTTGACAAATAAGTGTGCCCACAACAAATTGAGTTTGTTCTTTTGTTTTGCATCTATATTGGGAAACAAAGAATTTTACAAGACATTATTTTTGAGGGGCATGCGTTGTCTATGTTGGTTTCAATGCTGTGGCTAAATTTGTGATTTTTATTTAACTGCAGATATATCCTCAAAACTGGAAAGTCCTTCATTATATTGAACTTTTATTATTTCTGTTGAAATAATAGGAAGTTTCTTTGTTACATTTGTATGAACATAACAATAATAATAATATAATTTATTAAATGTTTAATGTGTGATCTTTTAAGGAATGATAGTAAGTGATTTGCATATATTATATTAAATACAATATTCTTATGAAATAATAATATTAAAATAACAAGTAATTATTTGAGTATTGACAAGCATTGTTATACAATTTTTTAAAGAAGTACTCCATTTAATCCACACAGCAACACTGTGCATTAGTTTCTTTCACAGTTCCAATTGCACCAATGAAGAAACTGAGTCAATGAGAGGTTAAATAACATGCCCAAATATTCAGAGCTATTAAGTGACAGAGTTGAGATTCAAACCCACA